TAGTTTGGAAACCATTATAACTGTTGTTGCACTAGTAAACACAAAAAAGTGGAATATTTATTTACTTAATATCAAGTCAGCCTTCTTGGGGCAATCAATAAAGATGCATACTTAGAACAACTACAAAACTATGTCTCCAAGGGACGTGAAAAGTTGGAGTCTTATCTTGCAGCTAATGATTTTTTAAAATACCCACATGAACACACTCTGTGAAAAAGAAAGAGAAAGATGCACTCTTAATTATTTATGTTTATGTAGATGATTTGATATATACATAGGTAATCCAATCAATGTTTTTAGAGTTTAAAAATATGATGATGAATGAGTTGCTATGACTGACTTAGGGAAGATGAGATATTTTCTGGGCATTGAAGTTTTGTACTTTATGAGTTGCTATTGTTCCAAGTATTAAGTTGCTGAAAACAGACAAGATGTGGGGCAGAAGTTGATAGTACTTTATGTTAGGAATAGACAAAAGAGATGTGGGGCAAAAGTTGATAGTACTTTACGTTAGGAATAGAGTAACTGCATAAGAACTCACAATTAAAATAAAGGATGAGAAAAGAGAAACAAAACAGACAATAAACAATAATAAAATTTTACTACCAAAAGAAATTACAATACTGTCTTTAAATCTAAGGAAAAACAATAATAATATTCTCTCTAAAAAATAAGAGAACTCAACTACTTTGCAATGCACTAGTAAAAAGAAGAAAGAAGAGATTTGAGGTGATTTCCAAAGTAGACACGGTGCTCCTTTTATAACAGAAAAAGTAAGCACCAACATATAATTTCTCTGATATGAGACTTATTTTCTCACCTTCTCACAATCTCCCACTTGAAAATTTTGATTAAATTAATCAAATTTTCACAATATATTATTATTGTCTTCCATGTTATTATTGCAATAGACTTTCAGTAGGATCGTCTCTATGTAAACTTGTCACTGTTAACCGATTGTCATAATATCTACTAGGTACTTCTTGTTTTATCCAGAAATACGAGATAAGATTCTTTGCAATGTGGAAGACACTCTGACTATCACAATACACAACAAATTGTTGCTACTTGTGCCCGAGTTCCTCCATTATCCTCTTAATCCAAATAACTTTCTTACATGCCTAGGTGGATGTCATGTACTCAACTTCTGTAATAAACAGAGCTACAAAATCTTATAACTTAGATAACCAATTATTGCTTCTCCAACAAAGGTAAATTCATCAAGACCACCTGCAAAACTTGAACAAACATAACATCTGACAACTAGTTTTGATCCTCTGAAACATAATACAACATTCAAGGTTCCTTTGATAAGAATTCTCTTGATAATACCCATGCTCTCCACCACAATTTATCATTGATCTACTAACCACTCTCACTGCTTGTGCAATGTCTAGTCTTGTACTGATCATGGTATTCATAAGACTTCCCACCATTGATGCATACAATACTCAAGACATTTTCATCCTCCTATTTCATTGTTATGACTCATACTTTAGGATAACATGACAGAAAATGAGATAAAAACTGACTTACACCTTGCATGTTGAAGCACTGCAAGACCTTTAGTAAGTATTCTCCTGATAAAGTCAAAACTTCCTATCTTTTATGTCCCAGTAAATTTGCATCCCTAAAATCTTATTTGTTAGTCCCTATTCAGACTTTCTAGCCAATTATATCTTCAAATCCTGGATTCGAACTTTGTTGGAGCATACTACCAACATGTCATCCACATACAATGACAAAATGATAAAATCATACTCACCAAATCTATTGTAATAGGTACAATAATCTGAACTTAATCTGTTGTAATCAAGGCTAATAATAAAGAATCAAATCTCTTGTACTAATACCTAAACACTCGGTTTAAACTGCATAGAGATTTGGTCAACCTGCAAACCAATTTTCCTTTTTCTTTAAGTCTTCTGGTTGGAGCACATCAATCCTTTCTTGTATCACTGCTAACAATAACATTATAGATAGTGGGATCCATAGGAAATACCCTTTCACATTGCTAGCATAGTTCAAGAATTTGTCTTTCCCGAACTTTGAAAACACAAATTTTCTCTTGATGTGATACACCCATAATCTCCTGGAGTAATCATTGTCATCACTGACACAAAATATTTGGCCCCTCATAGGGATAATACCGGCGATTCCAACACATCAAAATAAGCCAAGTTTAATATGTGTTTCCTCTAGATACAATTTGACAAGGGACTCCCAAATCTCCTTCATTGTACCCTTCTCCACAAATTTACTATAGCGTTATTGTAAATTTCTTCCCACCTTCGATCTGTAATACCCACGATCTTTTTTCAATTGCTTTTACACAATTATCTTTTCTCAAAATTACCTTCATCTTCAATTTTCACAATGAGAAACTATTCTCATTAAACTTCTCTATCTCATATTTTGTTGTCATGGTTCCAAACCGACTTATGCAATCCTCACTATGAATAATATTGCCTATTAGAACAACAACAGTAGACTGAACCAGTACACTAGTTAAGTTCCCAGGAAAGAGAGGAGAGAGAGGTGAGTCATTAATGGACACGCTTAAATACCAAGTCTTTCCTTGCCAAAACTTTTCCTAGACATGCACTATCACACTATCAAATAATATTCAATAACAAGAATAACTCTTTTGTGATGTGAAAGATCAGATTAATCACAACCACAAAGCATACTAAGATCAGATTAATCACAACCACAGAGCATACTAAAAATTTAAGAATTTTCTCCAACATTATTCTAATAACTATGCAATAGAAGATCAATATCACAACCTAGTGACTCTGATACCACTGTTAAGAATCAGAGTAACTGCATAAGAACTCACAACTAAAATAAAAGATGAGAAAAGAGAAACAAAACAGACAATAGGCAATAATAGAATTTTACTACTGGAAGAAATTACAATACTCTCTTTAAATCCTTAAATCTAAGGAGAAAATAATAATAATATTCTCTCTCAGAAATAAGAAAAATCAATTACTATTCAATGCACTAGTAGAAAGAAGAAAGAAGAGATTTAGGGTGATTTCCAAAGTAGACATGGTGCTCCTATTATAACAAGAAAAGTAAGCACCAACATATAATTTTCCTGATGTGAGACTTCTCTTCTCACACTTTATTCAAACGACTTATAGGAAGTCTATGTATCTAAATGCTACTAGATCGGATATTGCACATTCAATTAGCATGATTAGTCGTTTCATAGAGCATTTTAAAGACAGTCACTTCTTAGCAGCAAAACGTATTTTGAGATATTTGCAGAAACTCAAAATTTAGAAATTTTCTATAAAGCTGGAGGAAATGTAGAATTACTTGTCTGTACTGATAGTGATTATGCAGGGGATCCAGAAGATAGAAAGAGCACATCTGATTATGTTTTCAAATTTTGTACGTCGTTCACAAGTTGTTAGTATGTGAGTGTTATCTTTGTTAGTATGTGGGTATTATCTTTGTTAGTATGTGGGAGTTATCTTTATTTGTACGTAAGAATTATATTTTCTATTTTCTAGTTCATCAGTTGTAAAGTTAAATCTATATATTTAGCTTCTTTATTTTACGAAGTAATTACTGAACCTAAGTTTTCTGAGATAACAACTTGTTTGACTAAAAAATTTAACTGAATTTTTTGGTTTTATCAATTTTGTCCTGATTCAATTAAAGTCCGGTTATTTGGAAACAACAAATCGATTTCTAGTCTGATTCCTAGTTCAACTGGTTGAACCGACCGATTTGATTTTCAAAATAGTGAGTGTTAGAATTACCTTCAGATATAAATTCTTTATTGTGTCGATACGCTCACGAGTTTCACATCGCTTAGAGGTTAAGGTCAATGATAGTTTATATATCCCTCTTCTCTTAACCTACCAAAGCTTCTTTTAAGGATAAAACAGTGACATTAACGACATTATCATAGTGGATATAAGGCCAAAATATTTTCATTCTTCAACGAAACATTACCATAGTGGATATTGGTAAAATTAAATGTATAAAAATATTTATGAAAAACTTTAATCATAATTGATAACATATAAGTTAACATTATGTAAAATGATAAAATAAAATACATAAATATTTCCCTAAAAAATTATAATATTATAATTTTTTAGGGAAATATTTATGAAAATACTAGATAATTGAAATATAATTGATGATGGAAAATATGGCAATACTTAATCAAATAATTTATTATTTATTATGCCAAATTTTGGTTCCTTGAGAAACTTGCAAAAACTGTGCTAATTTGTTATAGAAAATAAATTATAAAATAACATTTAGTATAATTAATAATAAACAACTAACATCTATCATAATTAATAAAAAATATTTTTTTTCTAGGAATTATAAATTAATAAATAGTTAAAAAGTATTTTAATGTTTTCCATGTGTAAGATTACACAAAATAATAATAACAAAAATTCTAATTTAATTTATACATCAATATACCATATAAAGGGAATAGGATATGATGATACAACATACTTCTTTTATTTGTATAAAAAGATGAATTCAATGTGTTTCACAAGAAAAATTAAGGCTAATTTATAATTATGTATCATGAATTTAATGTGCCTTTCATAAAAAAATACTAAAAATTAATCAATAAAAAACTAAATAAACATGACGTCCAAGAGAGAAAATCATATGTTTTATTAATTAATAAATAATTAATTATAATATAATGTATAATTAAAAAAAATTATTATTAAGTGATATATATATATATAATTAAATGAAATATATTTGTAAAAATTTAAACTGTTAGTGTACTAAACCATATGAAGTCTTTAAAAATATGAAAAAAAAAAATTCAAAACTCTATTTTTATAATCGTTATCTTTCATCTAAAAACATCTAAAACAACTTAAATTTTCTTTTTCTGAAAAAGAATCCATTATATCTCAAAGTATTATTTGGTGAATGAAATAAGAAGAAACTAGGAAGAAAAACAATATGTTTGACAAAGTAAGTAAATTATATTGAAGTTAAAGTTGATGTCGATGGCTTTTGCCATCATTGTCCATCTGAGGAGTAAGAGAACTCGATTTCGTGTTGTTTCCATTAACATGTGCTGATGAAGAAGCTGGCTCAAAGGTGTTGGTGTTTCCCTCATGTTCTTTCCATTGTTGGAGTGCTTCTGGTAAAGTAATATCAAAGTCAATGCCATATATGTCATCAACATGTGTTTCTGAAGGCTTCCACACCTCAACAAGAGGTGACAACACATTCACCACATGACTCATGTCAGGACGTTGGTAAGGCTCCCTAGCACAACAATGTCCTGCTAACCCTGCAACAGTACTTATACTGACTAAGGTTTCCTTATCAACTTCTATTGTTGGGTCAATGATTGTTTGGAATGAATCTTTGTTCATTAGCATCTTACGAAACCATGTAACAAGGTGGATTTTATCTTCTGGGAGGCTATCATCAAGTGCTTTCCTTCCTGTTATCATCTCCATAAGAATCACTCCAAAACTATACACATCAACCTTTGTTGTAAGTCGTCCAGTAGCTGCCAAATTATGCATGATATTCTTATGTTAGTGCTTTGAATATTTATAAGAAAAAAATAAAATAAAAACTTAGGCCAAATGATTATTTGTTTTATAAAATATTCATGTAATAATCACTTATGAACAATGCAAGATTGCACTAAGATTTTTATATAATAAAATAAATACTAGATATCAACCCTCCAAGTTCAAAAAAATTATAACTGATGTAGAGTGGCTAAAGATGATTACAAATAAGTTTTTTTTGGTAATTGCATATGCATGTTGCATAAGTAATGACATTTTTAATATTTGTAATTTTATTTTGATGCACAGGAAACAAAGTAAGGTTTAGTAAATATATCAAAAATTTATTATCCAACTTACTAAAGAAAAATAGCATAATTTTTTTTAAAGAAGTTAAAATGTCAATCTACCTGCATATTCTGGTGCCATGTATCCAAAAGTTCCTGCCAATCTAGTTTGAAATGAGGTTTTCCCTTCAGGAGCCAGTCGAACCAATCCAAAGTCTGATACTTTGGCACGCATATCATCTCCAAGCAAAATGTTGGATGGTTTGAGATCCCTGTGAATAAAAATTTGTTGTGCCAAACCATGAAGATATTCAACACCTCTAGCTACATCTAAGGCAATACTAAGTCTTGTTTTCCATTCAAGTGGTTTTAACTCTTCATCTTTCCAATTAATCAAATGTTTACTAAGAGCACCTTGAGGCATGTATTCATACACAAGAAGTCTCTCACTTCCATCCAAGCAAAAACCCAAAAGTGCAACCAAATTTCTATGTCGAACTTTGGTTAGCACTGCAATTTCAGCTGTGAACTCACTTAACCCTTTTTGATCCACTAGTCCTGCTGATTGCATCCTTTTCACTGCAATCTTTGTCCCATCATGTAATTCCCCTTTGTATACTGTACCAAATCCCCCTTTACCCAATATGTTTTCTTCACTAAAATTGTTGGTAACTTCTTTCAAAATTTGGATTGAAATTAACATTTTACTTCCTTCTCCCTGATAAACACTATGCCTGGGACTTAATAATGAACTAACATTTCCTTCCCCATAACCTCCACCACTTATCTTTGCAACATTTCCATCCCCATTATTGGGAGGTGCCACAATTTTGGTTGGGTTTTGAACTTTACCCATATACTTCCACTTTCTCCTAAACTTAACAAGTATTAAAACCCCGACAATAAGTACAAGAAGAACCACCACTATAATTCCAATAATTACTCCAGTATTATTGTTATTATGATTGCCATGATTGTCTCCAGACCTCAATTTAGTCGGTTTATCCTTTCCTATATCAGGATTCCCTTCATATTTAAAAACCACGCCTTTACGAAATGACGGCACTTTGCCATATAAATTATTATTGGAAACATCTAACTCTTGCAAAAGAGGCAAACTAGTAAGTTCATTCGGTACGGTGCCAGTGAGACTATTGTTAGAAAGAAATAATTTTGTCACTGAAGTAAGACCGACAAAACATGGACAAATAGTGCCAGACAAACCCATGTTTTGAAAGTTGATAACTGAAATATTTCCCCCAGAACAAACTATACCTGTCCACTCATTAGCACATGGATCATTACCTTGCCAACTTTGAGCAAATTTTAGAGGATAACCCAAGGGTTTAACAACAGATAGTAAAACATTTACAAGGGGACTACATGGTTGTCCTAATACATTTGTGCAATATTGATTTCTCCCCTTATCCATGTTATTGTCAACTCCTACCCCATCTTTGAACCTAGGAGGGGATCCTTGAAGAAGGTTATTGGTTAAGTTGACAAACTTCAAACGTGGTAAAGCAACAAGGGAGGGTGGAACAACACCAGTCAACTGGTTATCCCTTAGGTTCACATCATAAAGTTGATCATGTTTTGATAGATCTGGTATAGGACCAGTGAATGCATTCCCATTAGCCCAAATTTGCGTCAAAGATTTCATGTTGCTTAACACCGCAAGGGTGCCATTGAGTTTAGAGTTACTATTCTGTCCATGCACCAAAAGATTCTCTATTGAGCTACCTGAGAGACTTGCAGGCAATGCACCTTCTAGAAAATTATCAGACAAAGCTAAGACAACCAAACCTGCAAAGGGACCATCACTACCAAAAAAGTCTGGGATTGTCCCACTAAGGCCAGTACTCTGAGCAGTAAAAGTTTGGAGTGAGACACAGTCCTTAAGGGTGTTAGGAATGTGCCATTGAGAGAATGGGATGTCATCAATTTTCACCTCTTGCAAATTGCTCATACCTTTGAAGAAATCACCAGGAATGAAATTAAAGTTGTTGTCATGGATGATCAACTTCTGCAAGGATTTTGAGAGGTAGGGGAACGACCCTGAAAGATTATTGTTTTGACACTCAAAACGTGTCAAAGTTGTTAACTTCACAAGCTCCTTCGGGAGAGATCCTTGGAGATTTTGATTCCCAATCTGAATAGCTTTCACACGTTTAGATGAGTCACATGTAACACGTCTCCATTTGCATACATCTTGACCTGTCCATTGGAAGTTATCAGGGACATTAATCGCGTTCTTTAAAATTCCCATTATCTCTGCATCTTGACACCTAATCGAGATAACAAGGAAAGAAAAAACCAAAATAAGATAAAAAAGGGAGAGACTTCCAAAACCTAGTTCATACTTCCCCATTTTGAATCTCTTTTCTATAATATACGAATAAAAACAAAGTTGATAAGGATGATAACAAAGAATCCCTAAGGGGTTTAAGGAGGTGTTGACCACATTGCATTTGAGAAGGACAAGGAGGAGGAGCCCCCAAACGAAAAAGACGAAATACAGAAGGAAAGAAAATACAGAGGTAACTTTGTCTGAGTAATGGACAAAATGGTGGAGAACACATGCATGTGTGGATCCATATTCTTTGGAGCTTTCAGAATCAATGGTTTACATTACATGTTTCAATTCCACTCTTCAGAGTACACATAACACTTGTAATAAGTTCTTCTTGTTTTAAGAAAAAAATGAAATTGATTATGTTATATATTAATTAAAAATATTTGTTTTCATCCATCTCTTATATGCTAAATTCTTAATTTTGTCAAATTAAATATATAAGATCAACATGAAAAACAAACTTCAACAAAAATCTACACTTATAAATTTATTGTTTTACAAGAATGATGTTTATAATTTATTGACGACGCTTGTAATATATTTTATATTCTTATAAAAAGTTGAAATTAAATAATATTTTTTATTGATTAGGTTTGAATCTAATAATTAAACTCACTTTAAAATTACCATAACGTATAGGAACATTTCTCTCTCCATATAATATTCACATAACTTTAAATTATAACACTAATAATTGAGCTTAAAACATGTTAGTTATATATGAATTTTACAGCTATTATAACTACACAAATAAAAAAATTCTGTATAATCTTATTAATATTAATATTTGTGACAAAACAAATGAAAGATGGTAATTTATATATATATCTACATTTTTGTATAATTATTTTTTAAATATTATTTAAAATATTATTTTATTGTTAAATATATCCATATATTTTTTAATATTTTCACTGTTTTTTAAATATATAATTCATAATAAATGTTTTTTTAAACTATAACACTTTTATTTTTCACTTTCTAAAAAAATTGTTGTAAAAGAAATCCTTCTATTTATAGTTATAGATATATTAATTTAAATAAGTTTAATTTATATTATATTCCAAAAACAACATTATATATTTATATTAGTGGAAACATAGTTATTAAAGCGTCTGTATGTCAATTTTTTTATAATTAGTTCTTTTAAAATATTTTAAATTTTATTTTCTTTTATTTTTCAATTTTTTAAATATATAACTCATAATAACGGTTTTTTCTTTTTCTATATCCTTAACACCAAAATAACCATTATAAATAGAACCCTATATATAATTATAAATATCTTAATTAAAATAAGTCTAAAGTTAAAAAACAACATCATATATATATATATATATATATATATATATATATATAATTAAATTAAATAAAATTAATAATTAATATATAGATCGGTTTATTATTAATAATGGTTTTAAATTTGTCTCATATAAAATGTTCTTCTCTGTTTTTTGTTCATTTATTTTTATTTTTATCTGCCTCTTCATTATTTTTTTGACTTTTTTTTTAATAATATTAAAAAAATCATTATTTACAAAAATAGACCTCTTCTTATTTTATTTATCTAAAACAAGGTTAAATTTGGTTCCAGAAAAATAAAAATGTATCACACTAAAATTATAGAAGCATCTAATGACTTTTTTAACTGAAATAATATTATTATAATATATATATATATATATATATATATACACACGTAAGAGAACCTTTTTTCCTGTTGCACTTGGAATTCGATTTATATATATACATATAACAGAACCTCATTTTCTGTTGCACTTGTCATTCGGTTTATATATATACATATAACACAACCTCTTTTCTTGTTGCACTAGGAATTCAATTTTTCGTAAACCGAATTTTAACTTTAAACTTACTACTTTTTTAAAATAAAAAATTAAATAAAATATATAATTAAAAATAAAAAATTATATAAAAATAATATTAAAATAAAATTTAAATTTTAAATAATATTTATATATAAAATAATAAAAATAATATATTATTTAAATATATATTAAATTATCTAAATAAATTTAAATAATTATTAAAAATATTAAATCATAATTTTTTATTATATTTATATATATATTTTTATTTTTATTTTTATATTGAAAATTTAAAATTTATATATTTTTTTAATTATATGAATTATTTAAGTTATAATTTTAGAAAATATATAAAATATTAAAAGTAAAATTAAAAATAAGTTATTAGTAGAAAAATAAAAATTATAGAACAAGATATTAAAGAAAAATAAACTTATTGAAATAGAAATAAATGATAAAATATACATTGTAATTGAAATGACTTAAATGAAAACGAATTAAAAGAGTTATTTTTGACGAAATCCAAAACGTAATAGACGTCGTCCTCGTTGTGGAACTTGATACCATTTTGGAGATTAAAATTTTCTTAACATTATTATCAATAATTTTATTTTTTATTATCAATGATTATGTTATTTTTAATATTATACATTAAATTCTGTCAATTTTTATTATTTTTTATTTTTAAGTTTATTTTATATTAATAATAATAATTTTTAACTAATTAAATACTATTTTTACTTTATTATTAAAAAAATTAGCATGAATTTTTTAATATAATATTTATAATTTATCAAATAAAAACTATTACATAAATTTTTATAATATAATATTTAATTTTTTAATATATTACCTAAATTAAAAAAAAATTTATTCTATTTTTTTCTAAAATTATAACTTAAATAATTCATATAATAAAAAAATATATAAATTTTAAATTTCCTATTCAAAAATAAATAAAATAAAAAAATATAATAAAAATTTATTATTTAATATTTTTAATAATTATTTAAATATATTTAAATAATTTAATATATATTTAAATAATATATATTTTTATTATTTTCATATAAATATTATTTAAATTTTAAAATTCTTATTTTTATTTTTAATATTAATTTTATTATTTTTAATTATATATTTAATTTAATTTTTTATTTAAAAAAAGGTAGTAAGTTTATAGTTGGAATTCGGTTTATAAAAAATCGAATTCCAAGTACAACAGTAAAAGATGTTCGATTAAGTAAATAATTTCATGAGAGATTCAGTTAAATAAATAATTTGATCAGAGATTATATTACGTGTATATATATATATATATATATAATATAATAATATTATTTTAGTAAAAGAGTTGAATCCAAAACTAAAATTCGAAATGCGTTTTTTTTTTCAACAACTTATATTTATATATTTATATATTTATATATATATATATATATATATATAATTATATAGTTAAATATTAATACATGAATATATTCATATAATTATATAATTAAATATTTTTATATGTTTAGATAATTAAATATATATAATTATATTTTTAAATAATAACACATGTTATTAAATACATATATTTATATATTTAATAAATACATATTTATATAATTATATATTTATATATTTAAATATTTGTGTATAATTAATAAAAATTATATAATAAGATATTTAATAAATATATATATTTATATATTTAGTAAATATATAATTATATAATTATATATTTGTATATTTAATTAATACATATTTATATATTTAAATATTTGTATACAATTAATAAATATTATAGAATAAGATATTATATATTTGTATATTTTATAAATACATATTTATAAAATATATATTTATATATATTTATACTTAATTATTATATATTTTTATATTTAATTATTATATATTTATATATTTTGATATATTTAAATATTAGTATACAATTAATAAATATTATATAATAAAATATTTAATAAATACATACGTGTATATTTAATAAATACATGTTTACATAATTATATATTTATATATTTAATAAATACATATTTATATAATTATATGATCGTGACATTGCTTTTAGCGCATTATATTAATATGTAATTATATATATAAATATATTAATATATTAAAATTTCAATATATAAATATATATCATTTATAAATATATAAATATACAATTATTAAATTATTATCATATATAAATATATATAAAAATATAATAATACTCAGTTATATTATATTATATATATATATATATATATATATAAAGATGCTGAAAAAAAACGCAGTTCGAAAACCGATTTCTCACCGTTTTCGAGGAAAATCGATTTTTTTTCAGCGGTCTATTTTTGTAAATAATAATTATTTTCAGAACCGAATGATTATTTATTTTCTCTCTTTTCATTCATTAATAATTTTTCTTTTTTTTTCATTCATTCTCTATTATTTTCTCTTATCATACTCTATCTTTTTTTTCAATTAAAAATACTATATTCAATTTTGATAAAAACATATTAAAGTGTATTGTGTAAAAAATATTTAAAATTAAAATAATACAATAAGGAACTAATCTATATTTTATTAAAAACTTATATTCTTACATTTTAAAATTCATCACATGGAAAAATATTTTTATCAAACTAAATTTAATAATTTTCTTTAATATTTTTATAATATCACTGTAGTTATAATAAACAAAATCTATACAAGTAAATTATTTGTATTTTTTAATTATTGTATGAGTAATTAATTTATTATAATAAAATAATTTTAAATTAATTATTTGTTATTATTATAAATAAAATTATTTAATATTATTTTTAACTTTAAATAATTAATTGATATTTTTTAGTTTTAATATTATTTTAAAACAGATACTTTAACCTGTTTTTATTAATTTTTAATTAAAAGAATAAAATGGGTGGAAGAAGGGAATAAATGAAGAGAGAATAATGAAAAAAAATGAATAAGGAAAAAAATGAGAAAATTAGTGAGATGAAGTAATATATAAAAATCTTAATTCTAATAATCAGATATTGTGTATAATTCAAAAATAAGTCTGTGCGTTTGTTATAAGACATGGTTTGTTTTAACATTTATTTTAAAATTTTAGTCCGTTGCTGCTTTTAAAAGATATTTAAATAAATTAAAAGATAAATATATATATATATATATATATATATAAATTATTCTAAATTATACTAGTTTATCAAAATAATATATAAATAATTTAAAATTAAATAAAAAAATAAAATACCATACAAAAATATTTTTTTAAAGAAACACTAAATAAGATATTATCACTGACTATTCTCCCCCATAGTATACTCTATTATAATTGGATCTTTACATTTTTATCATATATTTTTTATATTAAGTTTACAAGAAGAAAAAGTTTGTTAAATGTTATTATACCTTTTTTTTTTCGTTCAAATTTTATATATCTTAAGAAATTAAGACATGTATATTAAATTTTAAAATGTTTGTAGAGTGTTATGATATTTTTCAGTAAATTAAATACTTGAATAAGTTTCGGATGTTTAATATATCTGTTTTTTAGAACTTAATAAATTTTTCTTAAATTTAATATTTAATAATTTATGAAATTCTGGCTAAGTTTTTGTTAAATAAATTATTTATATTTAATTTCTAACTCTTTTAGTTAATATAATTTAATTTTTTATCATAATAGTCAGTATATTTTTTTATCACCAGTATAACAAAAGGAATTTAATATATACACATTCCTTCATACTGGAAATTAAATTATGTAAACATAAACTTAAATAAAATTATAATTTATTAGATATTTAATTTATGTTGTAATTAAAAAAAAGGGAATTGAAATTTTAGAGAAATTGACAAATTGATCCATTTCGTGTTGAATAAGAATTGAAGATGCTCGTAACATACAAAGCAAAGTACACATTTCAATTTCATTCACAACACAGCCCAAATTGCTTCTTCAACCCTCTCAGATCGCCCTTTCCGTTAAGTCCCAAAGTCGAACCCTAACCCTAAACCTAGCTGTTCCAATTCAATTCTTCGTCAATTCCGTTCCTCTTCGCGCAACCATGGCTACCACTTTGGTGAGTTCCGCCGGTGGGATGTTGGCGATGCTCAACGAGCCCCATCTTTCTCTCAAACTTCACGCGCTCTCCAACCTCAACAACTTGGTCGACACCTTTTGGCCAGAGATCTCCACTAGTCTCCCGAAGATGTGCGCATTCGCCTCTTTCCTTTCTATCTCTGCGTTTAGGGAATATGGATTTGGGTTTTGCCTGTGGGTTTTCTTTACATGAAAGCAATACGGTTTCAATTGCTGTGAGCTTTTAGTTTTTTCTGACTGTATTAACCAATAGAGAAGAAAAAATAACTGCTTAACCCTAGTGATTCAGTTTTATTTGATTTTAATTACGGTTTAGGAGTCAAATTGTATTTGATGAGGGTCTATTTTATTGGTCACACTTTCCATATATAGTGGTAAAAACCCATGATTCAATGTACTATTAGAAAGCATGGTTCTCCGTCAAGGGGAATGGTTTTAACTGCATCTTCTCTGTGCTGCAATTTGTAGACTTTGTTACTGATGCTTTTGGTCCTTATTTTGCTCGATGATCTGATTCTTTGGTTTGCTGTTGTTTGGTTCAATTAAATATTTGGTGTTCGTGGTTCGGAATGGGAATGCAGAGGATTTAATCTGTGTGTTGTGTTGTGCGTGTTCAACAGAGAGAGTTTGCATGAAGACGAGGAGTTTGATCAACATCAGAGGCAACTAGCTGCTCTTCTGGTGTCAAAGGTATTTGTGATCTTTTAATAATTTGAACCAGCGTCTTATTGAAAATTAACCTAATACCATTTTTTCTTGCGAAATTGTTTTATTTGAAATGTATAATTTTTTAGAATATTTGAGATTTAATAATTACTGGTTTTCATCTTTCTTTTTTATTTTATTTTTGTCAACTTGTAAAGCAGTTACCAAAGGACATGTTTTCTCAGTTCCGGAAAATTTCATTCCTAGATACTGACGTTAGTTTCATGGCTTATCTTTTATGATCTAATTATGCTTCACTCCCTAATCTTTAGGTCTTTTATTACTTGGGCGAACTTAATGACTCGTTATCTTATGCCCTTGGAGCTGGTCCTCTGTTTGATGTTTCAGAGGATTCGGACTACGTTCACACTCTTCTTGGTGAGAGTTATTATGCTTTTTGTTTTCATGAGATAACTGTGGCCATCGGCAGGCAAAAATATAAAGTGTTGTCTGTGAATGTGACCCAACAATGATTAATCATGCCATGCTAAGTTCCAATCGGATATTTGTTTATTTTCATTTATCTTCAGCTAAAGCCATAGATGAATATGCTAGTCTTAAGTCTAAGGCGACAGAGTCAAGTGATGAATCTATCAAAGTGGACCCAAGGTTGGAAGCCATTGTGGAGAGACTGTTGGATAAGTATGTGAGCCATAATCATTCTTCTGGTTTATGTAACCAAATGTATCCCAACTCTTGGAAATCCCTCACTTTTTATTGCTTTTCCTAAATTAGGTGTATCGTGGATGGAAAATACCAGCAAGCTATGGGAACTGCTATTGAATGCAGGAGGTTAGATAAATTAGAGGAGGCTATTACAAGGAGTGACAATGTTCAAGGAACTCTATCATATTGCATTTATGTCTCTCATTCCTTTGTGAACCTTAGGGAGTACAGACAGGAGGTAAGGGAATTGAAAAAAATTCTGGTTGTATTAAGTCCAAAATACCATATGTCATCTTGTGAAGTTGGAGGGTTGTATTCTATTGAGATGAGTTATGGTTTTAATTATCTTTGAAATATCTCTCTGAGCTTTGATTCTTAATTGGAATCTTACATATTTAAAAATTGTGTACTCAAATGGGATGAATATTTGGCTGCTGCATAAGTAAGTGGAAGATCTGATGAATACTATTGGAAACTGAACATGAAAAAGTGTTGGAATGGATCAAATTTGTTCTTTGACAAAAATGTGAAGAATTCTTTATAACCATAGTTTTTTTTCTCACAGAAGTTTGACATTGATCCTTGTTCTTGGTGTCCAGGTTCTTCGTCTCCTTGTTAAAGTATTTCAAAAGCTTCCTTCACCAGATTATCTGAGCATTTGCCAATGTCTTATGTTCTTGGATGAGCCAGAGGGTGTTGCAGTCATATTAGAGAAGCTTTTACGTTCTGAAAACAAAGATGATGCACTTTTGGCATTTCAAATTGCTTTTGATTTGGTAGAGAATGAGCACCAAGCTTTTCTTCTAAATGTTAGAGATCGCCTTGCACCACCTAAGACTCAGCCTTCAGAAGCTGCACAGTCAAAACCTAGTGATGCAGATTCTACTCAAAATGCTAGTGCGAATGGCCAGGATGATGTTCAAATGACAGATGGTGATTCTGCTCCTACGGTTGATGTGCCAGAGGATCCAATTGAAACCATGTATGCTGAGAGGTTAAACAAAATAAAGGGAATTTTGTCTGGGGAAACTTCAATACAGTTGACTCTGCAGTTCCTGTACAGTCACAACAAGTGAGGAACTTTCTATGGTCATATTATAATATGTCCTCACTTTGTGGTTGGTTTTAGTCTCACTGAATTATTGTTTTCGTTCTTATTCTGTTTTTCTGTAATCTGCATTTAGATCTGACCTGCTTATTCTAAAGACAATAAAGCAGTCTGTGGAGATGAGGAATAGCGTCTGTCACAGTGCTACAATTTATGCCAATGCAATTATGCATGCTGGAACAACTGTGGATACTTTCCTCAGGGAAAATTTGGTCAGTTATTATAGCTTATTTTTTCCTTATCCCCTCTCCCTATGTTTGCCCATACATTTTGATTGCTTCCTACTCTTAAGATAATTGTCCCTTGGAAATCTTAGGACTGGTTGAGCAGAGCTACTAACTGGGCCAAATTTAGTGCAACGGCTGGTCTTGGTGTCATCCATAGGGGCCATTTGCAGCAGGGAAGGTCACTGATGGCACCCTATTTACCTCAGGGTGGAACTGGAGGAGGTGGTAGTCCATACTCAGAAGGTGGTGCTCTCTATGCCCTTGGTCTGATTCATGCTAACCATGGAGAGGGCATCAAACAATTTCTTCGTGATAGCCTGCGCAGTACCACTGTTGAGGTGCTTATAGATAATGCTTGTGCTCTTCTTACAAGAAATAACCTGTGGTTACTTTTAACGCAAGCTTCTTGGGCAGGTTATTCAACATGGTGCATGTTTAGGTCTTGGATTGGCATCCCTAGGAACTGCTGATGAGGATATTTATGAAGAAATAAAGAACGTTCTCTACACTGATAGCGCTGTTGCTGGTGAGGCTGCTGGTATCAGTATGGGCTTACTCATGGTTGGAACTGGTAGTGATAAGGCAAATGAGATGCTCACTTATGCACATGAGACACAACATGAAAAAATTATTAGGTAAATCTGTTTTGCCTGACAAGGTGTGAAACTGTGGGGCTCCTCTTACTTACTATTGTTTAATAATCTCAGGGGACTAGCTTTGGGAATAGCTCTTACTGTATATGGAAGAGAAGAAGAAGCAGACACTTTGATTGAGCAGATGACTCGTGATCAAGATCCAATATTGCGTTATGGTGGCATGTATGCATTGGCATTGGCTTACAGGGGAACGGCAAACAATAAGGCAATTCGCCAATTACTGCATTTTGCTGTGTCTGATGTGAGTGATGATGTTAGGAGGACTGCAGTTCTAGCATTAGGGTTTGTGTTGTACTCTGATCCAGAGCAGGTTAGTTCTACATGTCTCTTTGGGTATTCCCCTTTTCTGAATTACCTTTTTGGCACATTGTTGTTTTGGATATTCTGTTTATATTTGCAATGTCTATCTATTTCAGACTCCACGAATTGTTTCCCTTCTATCAGAGTCTTACAATCCACATGTTCGATATGGGGCAGCTCTTGCTGTGGGTATTTCCTGTGCCGGTACAGGTCTCAGTGAGGCTATCTCCTTATTGGAGCCTTTGACGTCGGATGTTGTTGATTTTGTTCGTCAAGGTGCCCTTATAGCAATGGCTATGGTCATGGTTCAGATCAGTGAAGCTAGTGACTCACGTGTTGGAACATTTAGGTAAGTCTGTCCTATTTATTTTTGGAATGCAAGACAATAATTTTTTTTGTTTTCTGACGTACCCTGTACTGTAGGCGACAGTTGGAGAAAATTATCCTGGACAAGCATGAGGATACCATGAGTAAGATGGGAGCAATTTTAGCCTCGGGAATCCTTGATGCTGGTGGCAGAAATGTGACCATAAGGCTACTTTCTAAAACAAAACATGATAAAATTACTGCAGTGGTTGGTCTTGCAGTTTTCAGCCAATTTTGGTATTGGTACCCTCTTATCTATTTTGTAAGCTTGGCTTTTTCTCCCACAGCTTTTATTGGTTTGAACTATGATCTGAAATCTCCAAAGTTTGAGTTCTTATCAAATGCAAAGCCTTCACTTTTTGAATATCCTAAGCCTACTACTGTTCCCACCACTACTTCAACTGTGAAGCTTCCCACTGCTGTTCTGTCAACATCCGCTAAGGCTAAAGCTAGGGCTAAGAAAGCTGAAGAGCAGAAGGCTAGTACTGAAATTTCTTCTGCTCCTGACTCGACATCATCTGCACCGAGCGGAGGAAAGGGGAAGTCATCTGGTGAAAAGGATGGAGATTCAATGCAGGTAATGCATTTTTTAATTAATTATTGAAGGCCTTCCTTTGATCTTTGAATTCAAAGCACTATTTGACTAATTATTACAAATTTTTTGTTGTCTGTGGGCTCAGATTGAAAAATTTTCTTGACTGACATTAAGTTAGCATTTTCTAAGTAAAGGGAATAGGAATTGTGGATTGGAGTTCTGAAACTGCTTTTATTTTTCTGGTCGTTATAAAGTAGTAGGTCTAAGACTTGGTATGTAAGGAGGGGGAGGGTAGCTAAACTGCTAGTAAAAAAATGATTGGGCGATTTGACCCTGGAGATCAAATGGTCCTGAAAGCTCTTGGCTTTAGTCTTTTTTGTGCGTGGGCAGAGTTTGGAATAAAAATTTTCTTCATTGCAAAACTACTGTTATACCGAGTATTGTTGAAATGTTGATTACAAAATTTTAGATCCATGACTTGTCACATCGCATGACATGTATATGCTTGCTTGATGACCTTTCAAAATTTCATTTTTTTAGGTTGATAGCCCAACAACGGAGAAGAAATCAGAACCCGAGTCATCTTTTGAGATTCTGACTAATCCTGCAAGGGTGGTTCCTGCGCAGGAAAAGGTTATTAAATTTTTGCAGGATAGCAGATATATTCCAGTTAAGTTGGCACCTTCGGGATTTGTGCTTCTCAAAGACTTGCGTCCTACTGAGCCAGAAGTACTTGCTCTTACTGATTCACCCTCATCCACCACTTCAGCTGCTGGTGGGTCAGCAACTGGATTGCAGAGTTCTTCATCAGCCATGGCTGTGGATGAGGAACCCCAACCTCCTCAACCATTTGAATACAGCTCATGAGTTCAGTCCTGATTCGCCAAGTTCAAATATTCATCATGGTGCTTATGACAATTGGTTCTTCCGAGGAGTGTGGCTACCTGAATGGTTCAGCTCAACTGCACTGTGGCCCATTTTAGGTCGAGTTCAGGGGATTGGAATTTCATTTTTCTTGAATGCACTGTACTGTGGGATTTGCTCCAATATGTAGTTAATATGTGAACTGGTTCTTAGCTAAATATTTTCTAAGTGGGGCGCAGAAGCAGCGTGCGGCCACTCTGCTGTGTTAAATTTTTTTTTTTTTTCATTTCCAATTTGTTTTCTTTGAACTGCAATTTCTGGTCATCAAATGGGGTGGCCAAGGATTCTATTTGTAGAGTAGTGACACTGTTTTTCTTTTTCCGTTTAAACTTTAATGATTACTATTGACAGCACGAGATGACGAATTTCTGGAAGTGGATTTAATTTCTTGTATGACTTCATAAACACTTTACCTTATGTGGTAATAGGGGAAGATGATGAGTTATTTGGTCCTCTGCATTGCATTACCCACCCAAATTATTTGAACCGTCCTTTTCATTCTTTTACACTTTACATTAGCTTATTTTACAAAATTTCTTGTAATTTTTAATATTTACTCGTACAAAGATTAACATGATTTATAAGACAATTCGATTTATAAACTAACTTCTGTTGGTCTGGACTTTGGATACATTTTCAAGGTTATTGTTTAGATTGTGACTTTAGAAAAAAAAAATATAAATAAAAGAAGTGAGACTTCAATATATCTATTGGTGTATAAATATATCCATTGGTGTATGAGGGTACACAGGACTCAGTTTGTTAGATTTTAAAAGTTATATAAATATGTAGTAGTTTTTTATATTTTTATGAATAGACTAAATTATTACTTTATTTTATGTTTTTAAATAAAAATGTTATTAAAAAATATTGTTCTGTTCATCTATAGTTTTTATTAATATGTTACATTTATAAACTATATTAAATTAAACTCCTGTTCAATAAAATTTTTGTTCATGGTAACATACATATTAATATGTTATAGATTATAAATCAGAGTGCCTAATTTTTTAACAAGCTATCGAAGTACATATGAAAAATCAAATTATAAAAATTAATTAAGGATGTTTGCAGATTGATTTGATTTTATGTTTAAAAAATCATGCAAATTAAATATAAAATTTAATTTGATTTAATTTTAATTAAAAAAAAATTAAAACCCAATCATTGTTTGGTTTAGATAGTTTTTATTTTATAAAATTATTAAATATATTATAATAAATATTATATATATATATATATATATTTAAGATATATATATTTAAATTTATTTTTATATTTTTAAATTTAAATAATACATATAATTCATATTTAAATAATAATAATAAGATATATTTAATTTAAATGATAATATATTCCATTTAAATAATAACGCTAATGAACTGTCATTTGGTTTTGATCTATAATTGATTATATTCGTCTTAAATAATAAGACTTTAAGACTAGTGAAGTTGAATTAGTTATTCACTGTGAAATTGATAAAACTGATCGGGACGTTTTAAAAAAAATTAATTTAAAAAATTTTAAAATTTCAGTTTTAATTGGTTTAATATTAAATATCCTATAAATAATAATAATAATAATAATATTTTCATTCTAAATATAAAAATTTAAATTATAAACAAAATATTTTAAGTAAATTAAAATTATAAAAAAAAGTTAAAAATTCATGCGAATTAACCTGAATTCGATTAAGTTTAATTGGATGATTTAAAAATATAAAATCATCATTTTATATAACAACTACAAACCACAAGAATTGTATGAGTTGACCAAATTTGATTAAAACTTTTTTGTCATTGTTTTATTAAAACTTTAATGTTATAAAGATGTATAGACGCACAATTAATGTTTAATGTTTCCCAATAGAGTATTTTTTTTATTATCATCAATTGGAAAGGATGAGGTGCTGTTGTTAACTAAAACCAATTCAGGGATTCAAATAGATTCTAAAAAGAATCAATAATGTTAGAAATAAGTCAAACAAACTAAAACACTGTTTTACATTACAGTTTCTGTTATTTCTGTTTCTGTACTGTGTATAAATACGTTCTTTCATATTTTACGTAAAGTACGTCGTTTTCCAGTTATTCTTCTGCATGCATGCATAGTTTCTATATGGTATCAAGAGCCAGAACGGTTTAGTGAAGGGATTTCGGTCTTTGTCTGTGTGTGGCGTGTCGTGGTGCTCTTTGTGAAGCACGTACGTGTGAAGTTCAAAATCATGGCTGGATTGAGTGGATTCATTCCTGGAGGGTTACCCATGTTTGATGGAAGCCGTTTTGATGACTCGGAAGATCAAAATGCATGCGGTCTTTGGGTTCCAAGATATGGTCGAAGTGATCGAAGATGGCGTCATTGATCCCGACGACGAAGGCATCGACGAAGAAAAGAGGAATTACAAACGGATGCGAGAAAATGGATAGCAAAGCCGGTATTTGCTATATCAATGTGTGAGTTCTGAGATCTTTAACAAAATTTCAATGGCTGAAACGGCTAAAGAAATATGGGAGATTCTTGTCAAGACTTATGGAGATAGTGACAAGCACAAGCGAGTGAAGTTGCAGGCCCTACGTAGAAGCTTTGAGTTCTTGATAATGGAGGACAACGAATCTGTGGCGAGTTACTTCAACAAAGTTCAGAGTGTGGTTAACGCCATGAAAAACTGTAACGAGACATTGTCTCAAGAACACGTGGTAAACAAGATTCTTCGTTCTTTGCATCCAAAGTTCGATCATCTTGTTATCACAATTGAAGAAACAAAGGACATCGACAAACTGAGTATTCAAGAATTACAGCACTCGTTGGAGGCTCACGAACTGCGCATGAGTGATCGCAAATCGTATCAGGAGTTGGTTCTTCAAGCAAGAACATCATCGAAGCCAAAGAAAGATACCAAGAAGGGTTACAAATCCAATAAGAAGACTGATCCAGAGTCGAGAGAAGGTGAATCAAAACAGGGCGGGAATGTGAGTAAAGAGAAGGTGTTTAACAAAAAGCGAGTGAAATGCTATAACTGCCAGAAGTATGGTCACTTCGCACGCGACTGCTGGCATGGTGATGGAGCGAAAAACAAACCCAAGTCTCAGTCTCAGGCAAATCTCGCACAAGAAGAGTCGTCCGATTCTGAAGCTGTTTTACTCATGGTTAAGACCAAGAACGAAGATAATGATGATGATGCATGGTATCTTGATTCCGGGTGTTCTACCCATATGACTGGCCGGAGGGAGTGGTTTGTGAAATTGAGTAATGAGACTCAAGAACGGGTGCGATTTGCAGACGACAGCTGCTTGCATGCAGAAGGAAATGGACGAGTCGTGTTAAGAAGCCTCGAAGGAGAAGAAGTTATAGTCGACGACGTCCTGTATGTCCCTGGGTTACGAACCAACTTACTAAGTCTTGGCCAGTTAATGCAGAAAGGGTTCAAGATGGTTCTGGAGGAGAATTCCCTACGGGTCTATGATCAAACAAAGAAGCTTGTCATTTGTGTTGCACTATCATCCAATCGTACGTTCAAGGTAAAAATAACAACGTTAAACCATAAGTGTTTTGCAGCTGCAGTGAACAGAGAAGAGTGGCTGTGGCACTTACGCTTTGGTCACTTGAACTTCAAAAATTTGAGTGAACTGAGCGTTAAAGGAATGGTTGAAGGGATGTCTCGCGTGTCTGTGCCAGAAGAAGCGTGTCATGACTGTGTGCAATGCAAGCAAACGAAAAGTAAGTTCAGCAAATTCGTTGCCACCAAAACAACGAAGGAGTTAGAATTGGTATATTCTGATCTTTGCGGACCATTGCCTGTTGAAACACCTGGGGATAGTCGATACTTTGTGACCTTCACGGACGATTACACGAGGAAGTTATGGACGTTCTGCCTAAAGCGAAAAAACGAGGTCTCTGACACATTCAGGAGGTTCAAGAAACTCGCTGAAAAACAGAGTGGGTGCATGATACAGCAACTACGGTCTGATGGAGGGGGTGAGTACAACTTACTGGAGTTTCAAAACTTCCTGACTGAAATGGGAATCACACACGAGGTTACACCGCCTCACACACCGCAACATAATGGAACCGCTGAGAGGAGAAATAAAACTCTTCTCAACATGGCTCGATGTATGCTCAAAAGTAAAAACGTGCCTATGTATATGTGGGGAGAAGCAATTGCAACAGCAACTTACATTCTAAATCGCACACCTACGAAGAGGTTGGAGGGAGTTACACCAGAAGAAGCATGGTCAAAACAGAAGTCAGATGTCAAGCATCTGCGAGTTTTTGGTTCCCTGTGTTTTCATAAAGTGCCTGAAGTGCAGCGAACCAAATTAAATGACAAAGGAAAGCCTATGGTGATGATTGGTTATCACACTACTGGAGGGTATAAGCTGTTTAACCCCGAAACCAAGAGTGTAACTATCAGCAGGAATGTAGTCTTTGATGAAGCTTCTGGTTGGGAATGGGTGACAAATAAAGCAGCAGAGGTGGTCCCAATTATTGCGCTAGAACCTGATGATGTAGCAGATTTTGGTGAGATTGAACCCGAAGAAGATGTTCAGCAGCTTCGAAGATCCCAGCGTCAAGGACAACAACCAACTCGTTTCAGAGATTATGAAATGTTTGGTGTTGTTACTGAAGAAGGAAACCCAGTGCATTTTGCATTGGCCGCAGAGGCGGAGCCCGTGGAGTTTGAGGATGCTATGCGTGATGAGAAATGGAGAGAAGCGATGTGTGAGGAGATAAAGTCCATTGAACGTAATGGAACGTGGAGATTGGTTAATCTTCCACCGCATAAAAGGCCCATAGCACTGAAGTGGGTATTCAAGGTGAAAGTAAATCCCAAGGGAGAGGTGATAAGGCATAAAGCCAGGTTAGTGGCTAAAGGATATTTGCAAAAGGCTGGGACTGATTTTGGAGAAATATATGCACCCGTTGCTAGACTTGATTCAATCCGAGTAATTATCGCCATTGCAACAATAAACAAGTGGAGAATGCATCAGCTAGATGTAAAAGCAGCTTTTCTAAATGGAGTGCTTGAAGAAGAAGTATACGTAACTCAACCGCCAGGATTTGAGGTTAAGGATGATAAATTGAAAGTTTACAAGTTAATCAAAGCTCTTTATGGCTTGAAGCAAGCCCCACGTGCTTGGAACAAAAGAATTGATCAGTTTATGCATCAGATTGGTTTTGAAAGATGCACCACGGAGCAAGGCTTATATGTGAAGTACTGGATCAGCAATGGTCAAGAAGAAAAATTACTTGTATGCCTCTACGTAGATGACATGCTTGTTACAGGAAGTAAAGCGGAATATATCAATCAGTTCAAACATCAGATGACCACTGAGTTTGAAATGAGCGACTTGGGGGAACTCAATTATTTTTTGGGAATTGAATTCATACAGACAGAGCATGGAATGTTAATGCACCAGGCAAAATATGCGAAAGACTTGTTGAGCAGGTTCAAACTTCAAGACTGCAACACAGCAGCTACACCGATGGAAACAGGGTTGAAGTTGGGAAAGAATGAAGATGAGGAACCTGTGGATGAATCAGAATTCAGGAAAATGGTTGGGTGCTTGAGGTATTTGTGTTGTACAAGACCTGACCTGAGTTTTGCAGTGGGAATAGTGAGTAGATTCATGCAGGAACCTAAACAAACCCACTTGAATGCTGTGAAACGTATCATGCGGTATGTGCAAGGGACAAAGAACCTTGGCTTGCTGTTTACAGACAAAGGGTGCGAAGGAAGTGTTGAATTGAAGGGGTACGCAGATGCTGATTGGTGTGGAGATCAGATTGATAGGAAGTCCACTGCGGGTTACATATTTTTCCTCTGCGGGTCACCTGTCTCATGGCATTCCGTGAAAGAACCGGTTGTAGCTCTTTCTTCCTGTGAAGCAGAGTACATTTCTGCTTCTCAAGCTGCGTGCCAAGCTGCTTGGTTAGCAATGCTCTTAGAAGAGTTAAAAGTGAAGATGAATTGCTGTCCAAAATTAATGGTGGACAATAAATCTGCTATAGACTTAGCAAAACATCCTACTGCTCATGGTAGAAGCAAACACATTGAAACCAGGTTCCATTTTTTGAGGAAGCAAGTCAATCAAGAGAAGCTTGAAATTGTTTACTGTAAATCTGAGGTTCAGTTAGCAGATATTTTCACCAAAGCATTAAAAGGGGAGAGGTTTAGGTATCTGAGACAATCCATTAGAGTTGTAAAACCTGTTTGACTTAAGGGGGTGTGTTAGAAATAAGTCAAACAAACTAAAACACTGTTTTACGTTACACTTCATATTTTACGTAAAGTACGTCGTTTTCCAGTTATTCTTCTGGATGCATGCTTAGTTTCTATAAATAAAACTAATAAAATTAACAAAATCAATAAATAACATGGGTGAGGCTTTAAAAAAAAAGAGTTTAACAAAGATTAAGGAAGCAGAACAGAACATAACATAAAATAGAAGTAATTTTATTAATCAGGTGACAGAAGGAAGAACATAGACATGTTCAGTATTGTGTAGGAAGCAACGTGTAGCATTTATTTCATAACATGACGTATTTACACTGATTATGATGGTGGTGCTTCTGTCATAATCTTCTGCTATGACTTGTGTACTGCCACCACCATCAGCACTAACGCCAATGCCAGTGGTATCTCCGGTGGTCTCCATTTCCTTCTGAATAGGATCCTTACTGGTAGGAACAGCACCATACTGGTTCTGATACTGTGCCATTTTCCTTTTTTTTTTTTTTTTTTTATTCTTTCTTCAAACTTCTATTCTACTACTTACTCACGCACCAACCTAATTTATATGTAAGCACTTAATACACACATTCATTCATTAATTTTATATTCGTGTCACAGTTATATTGAGAGGCTGCCACCTCACCATGCTTGCTGCCAACTCTTGACAAATGTCCCTTAGGTTGCTTCTGTGGTTGCCACGTTACTACCACCACCATGCAGAACTGGTACATTTTTTCTTCTCATTCCATGTAACAATGTGCATGATGCTTAAAAGTTTCAGTTTTATTGTTTCTTAAATTTCATCATTCTAGGATATTGATAATTTTGTAAGAGTAATATTCCATTTTGTAGATTTAGTTTCCCCAAAACGCCATGGTACTGATAGGAAAAGGAAGGAATTGGAGGGAGTAGGAAATAACATATGGCAAATAAATTTTGTTAGCACCAACCAACCTTTTTCTTCTGAACAATATAGTAGTAACTAATTAACCAAATCTTATACAAGACAATTTTACAGAAAAAGGATTTCAAAATTAAAAAATAGAGACTATGGTGAAACCCTTCTGATAGGAGGAGTATCGAGATGCCAAAGAAAAATATTGAATTTACATGATTTTCCTCGTCCCTTGGGAGATCTGTACACAAGTTGGGGTAGTGGTGGTATACATTTTACTCGGATTGGAATCATGTTCAGCTGGTGGTTAGAAATGATCACTGCATATGCGTGTATCATGTTGCATGCATATCCTCAGATATCTTGAAAACCAACTGATGCTCTTCTTGTATGTTGAAGCACATTCAGATCACTTGCATACTATGAAAAATGCCAGTAGTGTGAGTGTCTTCAATTCAATTAAGGTGCTTGCTCAGTTCTGTTGCCATTCTGTAATGAGTTGTCCGAGGTAGGCTTGGGGTTGAAAAACTTTTCAACTGCTTGATACAGATTCTCTTCCTCGAAAGGCTTTGAGACATAACCATCCATTCCACATTTCAAGCACTTCTCGTATGTTGTGTGAATTACATCTGCTGTCATGGCCAGTATAGGTAAATGGTACTCCTTTTTCAAGCCATTTCCTTCACCACCTTCACCTTTCATCAACTGCTCATTTGCCTTTCTCTCCATATCCCGAATTCGCCGAGTTGCTTCAAAGCTGCAAATAATTTGATGATATATTCATTTAGATGCTTCATCAAATCCATCTCAATATGAAGAAGTGGTGATGGCAGATTCAATAACAAGTTTCATTATATAAAACACAAATTCGTGAATAATATAATAGGTAACTCTTTCGTAAATTGCATACAAGATTGTAAAAATCTCTACTTAACTCTTAAACTTTTATCAGTTTATGATCTAAACAGAGAAAACAAGTTAAATGGTTATCAAACTGAGTTTTTTTTTTTAATTAAACTCAGGTAAATTCTTTAAACTCAAGATAAAATCGCATAAACTAAAGTTAAGAGGAATTTAAGTCTAGCGCCAATTTGATTTCATTCTACTTTAATCACAATGACAATACTTTATTATTAGACTCAAAATTATTTGAAATAATTAACTTTTATTTAATTGTTTCCACATTAAAAACTGTCATCATGAATTTATATATGATTTAGTCATTTATGTAATTTAATCTCATGTACTATCACTTTATTGTTGTGATTTATATTATATTATATTATATTATATTTTATATATATATATATATATATATATATATATATATATATATATATATATATATATATATATATATGATTAATAAATTCTTACAAGTTTACAAATTGAATCTATAGTTTAGATTAGAAAAACTTCATAGGTTCACATAAATACTCGAATTTGACAACTTGGATGAATATAAATTCTCATACCATATTAAAATATAATTTTTTCTAGCTCTATAAATTTTTTTTTTTTTCCAATATTTACACAGTAAATTACAAAATACAAGGTTTCAGAAATTATTTATTTATGATGCGAATTAGAAGACAAACCTAACAATAATGTTGGATGTAGATGGTATCTTACAGAATAATTATCCAAGGAGTAATTAGTGTGCTATTTCAAAACTTCTAACATGGGCCATAGTTGACAATTCTTACTCATGTTGTTAAAACTTCTAAGCAACCCTCCATGGAGTAATCAATGAGCTATTTTAGATTTTTTAGCATGGTTCATCGTGATCATGTTATGCAACTATTTTTTATAACTTATAAGTAACCTGAATATAAATTATGCTTGATCTTATAGTGGACCAATTATGTATACACAAGACTCGCGATCACTCCTAAATACTCTTCAGCATGTTCCTAAGATATGATACTTCCACACAAGTAATCAAGATGCCTCAACTATAAAAGTTGAATGCATGTAAAGATTTCATATTAACAGCTATCATGTTAACACTTTTAATTGGTTAGTTTCTGATAAAAGAAAATGTATACAATCTATTATAGGTTATCTGCACATAATACAACAAAAACTATCAAATAGTAACATCCAATAATATGAAGAGAAGTTGAATTGTACAACAAGGACAGACATAGAAAGGAATAAAAAGGTTGATGTTTTGGAGAGAGATAAAGAGAAAGATAAAATTGTAAGAAATGCTGCATGAATATAAGCAGATTTAATTCTTCATATAGTCCCTGTATTCACACAAACGTTTTGTTTTAGCTTCTACACTAAAAAATGTGTGTTTTAAGCCTCTATACGAACAAATTTGTTTTTTTTTTTTTTTGGGTCTTTATTCTTGCCAAAAATTGTGTCTTCATGTCTGTTTTCGGGTCTTTAAGTCCCTATACCAAGAAATTTTACGTTCGAGTCTTCATAGAAACAACTTTTTTGTTCTAACCCCTGTTTTGACGGTGTTACAACATCTGAAGTTAAGGAACATTGTTTGACAAGGACAAATAAATAAACACATTACTTGCATGGGAACTAAAAATTAGTTTCTAGGTATAGAAACTAGAACACAAGGTTTTGATAAGTATATGAATCAAAATATTAAAAATTTGCCTGTATAGGGCCTACTACATAGAAATTCTAAGTGTAGGGTCTAAAGCAAAAAGTGTATACAAGAACTAAAATGGTTAATTAAATAATGTAAGTATATTATATATAGCTATAACATTAGGAAATATTAAGCAACGTACCCGTCCATTTCTGGCATTTGAATATCCATGAAGCAAGCATCAAAATTGTGAGGCAATTGAAGCATTTCAAGAGCAGTTTTGCCACTTTCTGCACAAGTAACATGAGCTCCAAAATTTTGTAATGCACCTGCTGCAACCCTCCTATTTACCCTATTGTCATCAACCACTAAGATTTTTTTCCCACAAAGAAGGATTCTTGCAAAAGTGGAACCATTAGGCTTCATGTCTTTCCCTAGCTGCCTCTTCTTCCCCGTTCCCAGAACTTGCTGAAGACATGCAGCCACCATGCTGGCTCTCAGAGGCTTCATGATCACAGTATCACTGAAACCTGCCGCTTTGGCTTTATCAAATTCAGTATTACTAATGTTGGTTGCAAGAAGGATCATTTGAGGTATCTTAAACAATTGCCCGTGCTGTTTCCAGTCCAGTTGCCACACACTGAACATCCCATCCTCTCCACAAATCCATGAGTCTTTCTCAACAAAAATTATATCAGGCTGAGATAATCTGTGCCACATCCAACCAGTTTAACGCAGTGAATGAGCTGAAGCACATCAATATCTCAAGAAAAAACTGATATTTAGAACAACATTTATTAACTACAAAACCACATCAATATCTTTAAATAAATTAAAAAGAACCTGTCAATGCAATTTCTTATGTTCTCTATGAAATTAGAACTTAAATTAATACAAAGAGAGTCCACATTAAGCTTGCGTAGACATCCACCAACAACAACAAAAAATAAATAAAAAATTGAAAACTCCCGCCAACAGGGGATCATATGTCAACTTAGCATTTTAGTAATACAAGACTCTACCAGATTATATAAGGAAAACCACACAAATCTGCATTAGATGCATTTTGATGAATATTGCAAATCCAGTTAAATAGCTGACAAATAATAACATAATTCATAAGCATACGCTAATGATAATACTAAAATGTTGATACTGCTGTTTGTTATATAATTGACAACAATAAGAGAAACAAAAATCTTACCCTGGGGTCAAAGAACCATTTTTCCCACATAAAGAAACAGCCTTATTGATGCTATTTGCAACTTTGCCCTGAATCCCAAGTCTCTTCAGATGGTATCTAGTCACAGCTGCTCTAACAGGTTTTCCATCAACCACAATGGCTTTAAGCCCGGTAAAACTGGAACGTAGGTCTTCCAAATTATGTTTCTTCATGTCAGTTATTGAATTTTTCTTAATTGTTCCAAAATCTGCAGTAAATGAAAACGTGCTCCCAATCTGGGGTCGGCTTATGAAACTTATCTCACCACCCATTAGGTCAACCAGGCACTTACTTATACTCAAGCCAATGCCAGTACCACCATAATGTCTTGAGGTTGAGCTGTCTGCCTGTACAAAAGGCACGAAAATCTTCTCTTGGGCTGAGAAAGGAATTCCAGTTCCAGTGTCCTCCACACTGACCATCAAGGTGACTTGCTCATAAGATTCAATGGCCACCTTTTTAACCGAAGCATCAAAGAAAAATTCTTCATCAGCGATCAGATGCTTAAAATTGTCCCAGCTGTTCCGCTCGTCAGCTGCTTCATATCCACTTAACGTCTTGAAATTATAACCACCACCAGACATATGCATAACTTCATCTGATCGTCCATTTAGAAAAGTCTCAATTTTTCCAATCATTGAGGACATTCTATTTTCAGCTAGATGGACTTTCACAAATATATGCCCTCGCTCAGTGAACTGCAAGATAATAATCAGTAATGTTACCACGAAGTACCTTCCTAATAAATTACTGGATACAATAGATTTAAACATCCTTTCAATAATTAAAAAATTGAACAGTTAGATCAGAAGGACATTTCGAACAAAAAAATGCATGTTAGTAATACAAATGCACATAACATTAGACATGTTAACTTTGAAAATTTCACTTACTTTAACAGAGTTGCCAACAAGGTTTGTTACTATTTGTCTGAATCTTCCAGGATCACCCATAACAATATCTGGAACTTTATCAGAAACAAATACTGCCAGCTATACTTTCCAAAACCATTTTAAGTCCAAGCCAGAAGAATTGTGAACAGGAACCACAGTCGGGACATTGTCACCCAAAGACATAAGAATCCAGAAAGGTGAAACGGAGAGAAAAATGAAATAGATCATTAGTTCAAGCAATACGAAATAGAACTATGAAATTGTGCAACTCGGATAAAGCAAAATTCGTGCCTTCACAATCAATTTAGCAACTAGACATACCTCTAAACCCTTGTGCCGAGATTTCTCAGAAAAAAGAGAAAGGACATCATCTAGTATGGATCTAATGTCAAATGGAACTGTTTCCAGCTCTAACTTGCCAGCTTCAATTTTGGCCAGGTCAAGCACCGCATTTATCAATGCAATCAGAGCTTTCCCACATGCTTGAGCAGTCTGAGCATAATCTAGTTGAGTTGAACTCAATTCGGTGCCTAGAAGCAGACCAAGCATTCCTACAGGAACATGGAGTTTGAAGATAGCATCACTAATAGTAAGGAGAAAGTAGAAGGTATGAAATAGTGTTACTTTTCAGGGGTTGAGAGAGAGAACCCTGATGTTACCTAAAATGCCATTCATGGGTGTTCTGATTTCATGAGAGACAGTAGCTAGGAACTGATATTGAAAAAAGAAAAAAAAAAAAGTTCTAGTGATCAAGGAGTGATAAAAGAAACTAATGAACCGTGGTAACCATTTGCCAGGAAAAGTACCTCTGACTTGGCAATATCTGCTGCTTCTGCACGGACTTTTAATTTCTCCATTTTGTGAAAATCATCCTCTACTCTGACAATATGATTTCCAGCACCATATAAAATATAACCAACTAATAAAAGAATCACAAAAAATAAAAATGCCGTTGTAAGTGCTATCCAATTGGTTGGTGCCTTCTGGTGATACCTGTTCAAAAACTTGATGATAAGTATCTACTGACCAAACATTGATACTTCTTTACAAAATGTACAACAGCCAGAAGCACCTACCTACATATCATTTTATGTTTCCTGTATGGATCTCCAAAATCAAGCTTACTTTCATGGACAAGAGACATATCTCCTTCTTCATCTTGCTTGCCATACATGATTAAGTGATCAGTAAAGTTTGTGATATCATATACATTCACCAAAATTGCTTGGTTACCAGCAAGTTGACCAAGTAAATTCTCCACTAGCGACTCAACATCAAAGGATCCTCCAACATATCTGCTTCCAGTAAAAAAGTTTATTGAACACACCATGGCATTGTGAAGCTTAAGGATAACATAAAGCCATCAGATTGAACCAAAAATAACAATCTTATCCTACAGGTTTTCTACAGAAAGCAATTATGGAAGTCCAACTACAAATCAGAATGGAAAAGAACAAAAGACTGGTAGGACAAAAAGTAACATTTACAATGGAAATGAACCAGAATTGGCAATCGTATATATTTAGGTCTTGAGTACATGTAAATGCAGCAGAAAGGCACATAGTAGCTGGAGTAAGTCCGTCCTTTATCATGTATTGACATTTAGAGGAATCATCAGGGTTACAAATTGAGTCTTGAACTTGAGAATAGGTGAAGTCTTGGGTAGAACTATTATTATCATCCTTATTTTGGAAAAAATAAAAAGACATGCAATTACCCACTAATGCTCTTTAAAATGCATCATTTACGCAATAATGCACCTAAAAGGTTTTAACCCCTCATCCTCTTACCACTCATAAACCACAAGACAAAAACACCAAAATGTTGTGAAAACAAACTTGACACAACAAGCCAAAAAGAATTCACAAGGACAGACCCTGCTGTTGCTTTAATGCGCTCTTCCATTGTTGGCTTTGGAGAGAGCTTAGATTTATAAACAGGAAATGTCAAAACCACACCAAGATGATGAGAACCCAACAGCTTAAAAGGGCTAGTGAGAACAGCTTTCCCAGTGGCCCTGGCCCTCAAAATGTTCTCTCGGTCCTCCTGCATCACACAAAAAAGGAAATTAAAGTTAAGAAGTTATAGAGTGATCATATAAACAAAAACCATGTTGAAAGGGTTTGTAATTTACCTCCCCGGACATCATATCAAGAGATTCAAGGTAGGAGACAGTTTCTTGTGCAAATATCACCGGTGCATACTCATCTCTAACCTGAGAAGGCTTTCTTTCCATTGTCTTTATAACCCATCCATGTTGCTTCTCAAATGATTCTCTCTCCGAGTTAACCACTCTCTGTGCATAGGCCACCCCACTGAGTAATGGCCGTTCAAATGCAGTCCTGGCTGTATACTCCGCAAAGGTTTCCTGATGTGCAACAAACAATAGTCAAGCTATACAACAATCTGAGTAGAAAAACCACAAAATTAGATTAGAAAATAAGATGCAGAAATCAGAAATGGGAAAAAATAATCCCAAATCCAATACAAAACGGAAGATCAAGCACAAACCTGATCAATTGCAGAAGGGGTTCTGTAGTAATGGAAGGTTGAAACAAGGATGGCAAGGGCATGGACATGGTTGACACTAACACTGAATTGATCTTGCAGCATTCTTGCTCTTTGATCACAGAGGCTACGCAGCACCTCTTTTCTTCTGACTTTAGTGTCAGCATCCATTTTAGTATAGATGCACCAACCAATTAGGGCCATGAGAAGGATCCACAGCATCAAAAACTTGGGAAGCCATGCCCTATGTGCCTGAATGAAAGTGTACTTTCCTTTGCTTCCTGCTTGCTCATGTGCCTGAATGAAAGTGTACTTTCCTTTGTTCCCTGCTTGCTCATGTAACTTCAAAGCCTTGGGGTCGTGCCTCAGGCTTTTCATCTTCAAACCAAGACCCATCACCAACAATTTCTCTCTGCTCCTACCTTTCTTCCCGATTCATTATCTATAAAAGTTGGAAGAAGCCCCAAAAATAATTGTTGTTAGTGCTTAAATAGGAGGACCTCACTTTGCTTAAAGCTGAAAGTACTCCGCAAAATCTCAGACACCTTTCTGTGATGGTTGAAAGAAAAAAGTCACAGATCAAAACCCTCTGTACTGTATCACTGCGGCATTGTTTTGCGCGATTCAAAACTCAGAAAGAAGAAGTAAGAGCACTCTAAACACAATGAATGATTGACGAATTGGACAAATTCTTTTCTTTATTTTATCTCTTATTAAAAAAAAAAGCCTATCTCAAAATCCACCACCCAAAAAAGGAAAAAGAAGAAGAAAAGAAAAACATCTCACACAACAGACCCAGAATTTAAGAGAAAAAAATTGAGAAACAAGCATAGAGTCTCAAAAGATGTTAAAAAAAACTCATTCCAAAAAACCACCTTCCCCTCCCCCAACAGCCAATATTTGTGTGTTTCAACAGAGTTTTGGGAGTTAAGGATCAGAATAAAGAAATGAAAGAGAACTATAATCAATAATCATGCTGAGTAAGCGTGAAACTGGTGTTTGCTTAAGGACAAAGAACAGCACGTTCACCCTCTTTATTCCATATAATAATCAAAGCCAGAGATTGACCCCCCAAAAAACATACACACACAGCGAAGCACACAACCCAATGAGAAAAGATAGAAATGGAAAAGATGGTTGTTGAGACTTGAGAGCAAGAAAGAAAATAAAAAACCATGTTTACCTGTCTGTACAGGAAAGAGAAGAAGGTGGCTGTACAATGAACAATTAGAACCAATTTGGTTTGGTCTTGATCTGTGTGTGCCCCCCTCCGTTCTCTCTCTCACTATGTACTTGTTTATTTTTTATACCTTTTATTATTCTTTACTCTTGTTTACTTTTTTTCTTGGCTTAATTTAAGCACATAACAAAACTAAATCGAATTTTCCCGATTTTCCCAGATACGCTGTTGTCCCCCTTCCACCTCACAATTCACACACACAACACAAAAATATAGTACATCAGTCAAGTCAAGCCCTCCTTCTCTCTCTCTCACACACACACACACATCTCTCTCGTTCTTTGCAACAATGCTAATGAATTTCTTTTCACACCAACTGTGTGTCACTGTCTCCTCCCCAAGTTGGTAATCTTTCATCAGCTTTAGAAGAAACTCAATCTCCCAATTCAAAGAACTACGAAGCATGAAGCAATTGGTATGGACTATTATGGACCATGGACCAGTGAGTGAGTGAAGTGTTAACTAATTACCTTTTTGGTGTTGTTTCCAACTTTGGAATCTGTTCGCTGAAAAGATTGAAACTTTCCAGTCTCCACACTCTTCTTCACTTGAAGCACGACACTTTCATGCACACCGAATCATTTTTATTTTTTACCTCACCTGGGTCTTTCTCAGTTCACAGTTTCCTTGTACTTTTCCTGCGTTCCAACGTTAGGAATTGCAACAGTAAGAGAGAGAAGAAAAGGGAGGAGAGAGAAAAACCAGAAACTGGAAATCGCAATCACAAATCTGAGCGATAATGACTGGCGACAAGGCGCGGATCTTATTCCCGCTTAAATTACCGAAAATACCCTCCATATATTAATTACTTAATTAATTAATTAGTTGGTTTGTCTTTGTTCTTATTGTGACTCTGAAGACTAAACCAATGTTACCTTCACACAGTGCAAGCAGTTATTTTAGTTATTTTTTAGTTTTTCTTTCTCAAACTAACACGACATTAGTTAATGTTTAACTATATAAAAAAAAAAAACTATTCACCAAAAGAGAACATTAAAAAATGTGTTGCCAGTATCTCCTTGTATTTTTGCTAAATTGTCTTTGCCTTAAATGATTTGATTCCACTTTTTGTTAAAGTTCCACACATTATACTATGTTCGTAAAATAAATTCTAAGAGGTAGTAGTGATATTTATTTCCCTTTTTTTTTACTTTAAAATTGTATTTTTAGTCCCAAATATTTTCTTTTATTTTTATTTTCAAAACTAATCATCAAATAAAAAAGTCTTTACCCGTGAATATCGGTTTAATTGGTTGGTATACAATGTACTTTTTCCTTCACTGTGTTCCCCGATCAACTTTGTCAAAGTCAACTAATATTATTGTTGTTTTTATTTTAATCAGGATTGGACTATAAAGTTATGATTCTTTAATAAATTTATAAAATTCTCGATTTCTATGCATTTCCATAATTATTGTTTATGTGTGGTATTAATAAAAAATGTGGTTATTAAGGATGAGATTTATGGAAAGTAAAATCTGACAGTGAGTTTTTTTTTTCAACCACTTCTTAAAATGCTGCTTAATCCAAAAATACAAAAATAAATCTAAAAGTGTTATTTGTCAAACTTTTTATCGAATAGGTAGGTTAAAAATAGAAACCTTTTTTTTTTCATACAGAGATATTTTGATTATTACATAAAAAAAACACTTAGTTTTTAACATAATCTATATTAGGGTTTTCCTTTTCCTTGCATTTATTAGGTTTTAATTTATTTTCTTAGTGATTAGTGATAATTGAGGAGTTATCAAGTTGTGTTGCCATCATTATAAATGTGAACATTTTTCCTAAACAGCTGTAACTGATGCAATTCCTTTTTTGTTTTTAGTTCATCATTGTTTTATTTTATCTTAGGACTAGTTCTTGCCTTTTTTTATATTTAACTTTTATTATTTATTTTGTCTCTAATAATTCGTTAGATTTACCCATACATATAAAATAAGATGCATGGTAAAAAGTAAAATTTATTTGAATTTTTTATTTGTGTATTTTGCATCATTAAAATGTTTGTTTCTATTTTTCTGTCATTTATTTGAAGCAAGAATCTAAATGAAAGCCAAAAGTGGATTACATTCATAGATATTTTCCCAAGATAGATAAATATTGTATTATACTATTTTAAATAATCAAGTGAGATGAGTAAAAAAAATGGAGGTTTTATACTATTTTCATTCATTAAAAGAAAACAACAAATTTATTGATTCTAAATATTTTCATCCCTTCATGTGCATCGCTAATCTCTTTAATTAGTGTAACCCGAGCCCATACCTTACAAAACTGATACATTAATTATAGTTATTATTAATTACGTATTATTGAAAATGATTAGTAACCAACCATATGAAGCTTTTCCTTGACACATGCTATGAAAAAACCATGAAACGGCACCAAAACTGATGTAGAAGCTTATATAAAATAAAACCCTGTCTCAACAAAGCAAATGATTCACATGATTAATAATCATAATTATGAATATTGTTTGGTTTTTTAGTTTCTCATGTCCTTAATAGAAGCTTGGTTGCATGTTCCTTTCCAGAAGTTTCTAGTTTTTTAATTCTTTAAATCTTCTCTTGCATGTGGGTCTAAATAGAACCCATTTAACTTCTTAAATCCCTTTTGTAAAATACAGATATTAGCTGTTAATATACTTATTTTGCATAATAATTTTAATTATAATCATAATATTTTATTATATTGATTGGTTTTTATTAGACATATTAAGGATCGTTTTGAAAATACAGCTTAATTAATATTTTGTTGTCTTAAGCAAATCATAAATGTTTAAAATTTGAGAGTTGAATATGTTATAATCGCTTATAACATTTTTAAGTGTTTAGATGCATTGTCGCAAAAATAAAAGAAACCTTCCTTGAGTTTCCCTTGAAACAAAAAAAATTAAGTATAATAATTTTCAACACCCCCTTCCCACATTAAACTACCTTAAAATTTAAGGAAAAATAATAAATAACACAAATTTATTTAATATTTCACTTAGAAATGATAGTGTCTTCGTTAGATAATGTCTCATAGAAATAAATTATCACTTTTTAGGTATTAGGTATTATCTGTGAGGTCTAGATGTATATAAATCATTATTAAATTATTAGTTTGAAAATTGGATTGAATCAATCTATTTTTATCAATAATTAGTCTAAAAATCGACTTATTTCTTTTAAATAATTAAATTTTAATTAAGTTGAAATAAAACCGATATAAAACAGAAAAAAGAGCTGAATTTTTTTATTGAATCAGTTTTGATAAAAAATTAAAGATCAATTTTTTTAATATAATTTATTTATAAAAAATATAATATATATTTTTTTAATCTCTCAATTTTAAATAATAATTATTTTATTATATTTTTATGTTATTTTAACTCTTATTCATATTATACTCTCTAATTTATTTTATATTTATAATCTTTATTATAATTTATGGTTATTTTTATTATTTTTTTAAATATTATTATTATAATAAATTTATTATATACATTTATTATATTAAAAAATATTATTTTATTAAATCTGGTTGAAAATTTTGATTTTATGTCTTTACTTAATGAACAATCTTATTAATATAAATTAACTTTAATTTTAACATATTAATAAATCATAAAAAAATTATTTATAAATTGAATATTAACATAATATGAAAATTTTAAATATTAGAATCATTCGTAATATTATATATATATATATATATATATATATATATATATATATATATATATATAAAATTCAGGCTAAATCACTTATCATATAATAACGAGTTATAACCTAATCAATTTAAGATGAAGAAAAAGGTGAAGTGTGTGATCATGTGGTGCATGATGATATTGGTAATACACATAAAGGACAAAAGAAGGTGATGTCTAAGAAAAGATGTGATATCGCATACCCTTAAACAACTAATTAAAAAATTGTTGCTTAGTATCTTAATTTACAAAATAACTGAAAAATTTGTCCATTGTTTCTCTATGTTTATTAGGGGTGAAAAATAGGAGAGAAATATACTATTTTACTACGTAAATACCCTAATTATGCTAATGGCTGTCATTATATAATTCAAGTTTCCTTTTCTTCTTTTACCACGTGAAAACATTATTTTCTTTTATTTCTGTCTTTAAAAAGAAATTAAACAAGTTATTAATATACTTCTTTGTTTGATAACAAAAAAAATCCTATTATCATAAGAATCTGACTTTTAAAGAGTTTTTTAGCAAAAGGTATTATATATATTGAAACGTATGATACATACAAATGAACTCATACATTAGTAATGATGATAATATTATTATTTTTAGATAATTTAATGATGTTTACGAATTTATAGTAAAGAATAATAAGACTAAATTAATACTAAAATTAATAA